TGTTTCATGGATTCCATTTCTTTCTTATGTTGGGCAATCATGGTTTCCATTTCTTTCTTATGCTGGGCATTCATGGCTTCCAGCATATTTCTGATTTCATCTATTTTCTTATCTGTTTCTGCTCTAGAGCTTCTAATCATGCCTTTCATTGTGCTCACCATGTCTGTATTTACCTAGGAGATTATTTCTGCTTTGAATTTTTCTAGAGCCTCATGCATCTGCTTTGTTACTTCCTGTGCTATCAGTTCAGGTTGTCCAAGTGGTTGCTTGTCAGACTTTTCCACCTCATTTCCCCCAGAATTTCCTTTTTGTGGTGTGGAAGCCTGCGTTTGTGCCTTGCTTAAGTGTCTTCTCATTTTTGCTTTTGGTACTGTCCTTGGTTTAATTCCTGGGTTGATATTTCAAAATTGCTTAATGTAGGTATCCTTATTGCTTGTGTTTAGAACCCTTGTGGAATGATTGCTTTTCATAGGTGTCTTCTAGATATAGCTTGTGTTTGGCTATTTTATTTTCCTTATACCAGGTAGGAAAATGACTCTGAGGCTATTTTGTTTGCCTCATACCAGGAAGGAAAACTAATCAGATCAATCACAACATGTTAGCCCAAATGACATAGTCAGCAATACCATAGCATCAAGCACAGCTAAGAAAATGACAATTTGTGGTAGTTATTAATCTATCAATTTTAACTCTGTGAGTTAAAACCGAGGACCATCCTAACATAAGTTTATAATGAATAAGCTCTTCAATATAGCATCTTTCCCCTTCGGGCTGGGGAGTTAAAAGGAGTTGGGGAGGGAGTGTCAGGTAGAAAGAACAGGTAAGATTAGCGATGAGGCCAGAAAACACAGAAATATCACACAAACTCTAAGAAGTTGTTAAAGGCAAGAGAAAAATGGCAGAATGAAAGAACAAAGATGTGAATAGAATCACCTAACAGCAGCAGGGAGGCTATATACCAAATTTACTTTCCTTTAAACCTAATGATAATCCAGAGAAGGAAAAAGAGAAGAAAAAAACAATAAGGGAGAAATCCGAATTCAGTGCAGAAAGGAACAAATGGGGAGATGAGCAATGTGGGACAGCAAGAGAGTAAGTGAGGGGGGGGGAAGATAAAAGAAAGAAAAGAAAGAAAAGTATAACTTTGAAGAGTAGAGAGAAAGTAAAAATTAAGAATTGAAAATAGGAGAAAAAAAATTTTTTTTCTTTTTTGCAAATAGCACTAGAAATTATGGGCCTCCTTCAGGGTATATCTTTGCTGTCACAATAGGCAGCGTAGGAATCCCTGTGCATATACGAGTCAATGAGTCTCAGCAAGCCAGCAGCAGACCAAGTACAGTGGTCCGATGTGCCTTTATTGTAGAGATTCTCTTTACTTTTCTGCTGAGCTTCAGTTTTAATCGAGGAGCCTGAGAAGCCCTCTTTCTGTTTCTAATTTCTGCTCTACCTTGTGGCGCTCAGGACAAGTGTCTTTATAATCTCCTGTGCCTCTGTAGTGTGGGATCAGGTAGCAGAAAAGCCAGAAGGCCAGAGGCGCAAGGCGGGGTGCGGGGTGGGGGGCATTGGTAAGCAGACCTCACCATGGCTTGGGCCTGGGGGTGGGCGGGGCTTCAAGCTGCTCCTCTCACCTAGCAGGTCCAGCTTAGAGAGCGTGGGATGGAGGTTGGGCTGCAAGACGAGCCCCGGACCTCACCTCAAAATTTTTTTTAAAAAATGGTTGGGAGAGCTGGGGATTTAGCTCAGTGGCACCATGCCTGCCTCACAAGTGCAAGGTCCTGAGTTCAATCCCTGGTACTGAAAAAAAAAAAAAAAAAGAAAACGGTTGGGTAATACAGCTCAATATTAGCCTCTGTGTTCTATTCCCAGTACTGAGAAAAAAATGGAAAAATAAAAAAAGAAAAGAAAGACCGTATCCTCTTCACACTTGCATTCTGGTACATTCTAGTTCCTCACATTTTATTCAAAGGGACCTACATCAGTCCAAGTGATGTTAAAAAAAATCTTTTGTTATTGGCATAGGGAGAGCATGGATGTAACTGACTGCTTTATTGTTGGGGTCAGATGACTCAGAGAAAAGGCATTTAGCCTCTGGAGGTAAAAATGAAGTTTTAAAACAAAAGACAAACTTTCACGTCATAGGGGGTGGCCAGGAATGTAACAGAAAATGGACCAGAAGGGACTGTGCTGCATTACAGAGCCCTCACTCAGTCACACGGGGCAGCTCCATCTCCGCTCCCGGACTTATGCCGTTGGCATGTGGACCAGTGGCAACGCCTCTGACATAGGAACACGGCAGAAATCTCACATTGCGCATGTATAGAACATTTGATTCTGAAATGTTGGAAGATTAATTTCAAATAAAAAGAAAATAAAACCAAAAATTGTATGTCAATTAAGAAGCTCACACAGATGTATTTTAAGACTGAACAACATTCTAGTGGGTAGACAGCACATTTTCTCCACTCATCCACCTATTTAGGTTGTTTCTGTATCTTGAGTATTATGAATACGGCTGCAATGAACATTGGAATGCTAATACCTATTTGAGATTCTGATGTCAATTCAAAAGTGGGATTGCTGGATGGTATGATGGTCAAAAGAGAGAAATGCTGCCATATGTGACACAATGGATAACCCTTGAGGACTTTATGCTATGTGAATTGAATATGTCCAGTAAGAGAAGGACAAACACTGGATGATCACACTTACATGTGTAGTGCTTAAGAGAGTCAAACTCATAGAATGGGAGAATAGAATTATGGCTTTTAAGGGGTTGGAGGAAGGAAAATGGGGAGTTACTAGTCAATGGACAATATTTCTCAATTATACTTAATCTATAAATCCTGGAGACTTGCTGTACAACACTGGACCTATAGTTACCAATACTGTGCTATACACTTAAAATTTTGTTAAGTGGGTAGCTCTGACATTAATTGTTTTTACCATAATAATCATACCCATAAAAGTAAAGCATGTATATAAGTCAGGGTATCTCTACACTGACAGGGACTTACCCTGTTGTGTACATATAAGTGTGTTGAGGAGGAGAGACCAGAAGCATTCCAGCATGAAGCCTTGAGATTGAACTGGAGGAACCTATCAGCACAGGTCTTTATTCCAAATGTACTAGAATGCAGAATGAAGGTGGGCAGGAACATTACAAAAGGAAAGGAGGAATTAAATCACCAACTGAGAAAGCTACAAGGGGAGTTTGACAAGTGAATCAGGAGCAACATCAGAGTCAGGTTTTACTTTCCTGCAGAACCTTCACATTAAGTTTATTTCAACCAGTGCCATGTCCCTTCAGGCTCTTTTGCTCAGAGACAGAGAATAGGCAGGTCATTTACTCTTTGTCCTGGGATTTGGCAGGGAGAAACTTTTCCTTTGAAACTTCGGAGGCAGGAATAAAGCAAGCCTTAGGCTTTCCAGCAAAGTTTATTTAAAAGCCAATGAACTTCCATCCTATCTGTCAGTCGTCTCTTTTGCAGGTGCAGGGCTTTCTGGGGTCTAAGCCCTTTCATCTTCACAGAATATTGAGTAATCTGAATTCAAATGCAGAAAAATCAGGTTCTAGAAACATGTAGCAGAATGCCTACAAATAGATGGGAAAATATCACCCATGTAACTTTAAGACTGTAAATACAGTGAAAAACTGAGAAATTCAATTCTTTTATGGGATCTTTCAAAGGTGCCCTTCCATTTATATCACATTGGGTGTTCTAAAGTGTACTGTCTTATCCACATCTTTATGATAGTCTGGTAGGTAGACTGTAGCTTATTTTAAAATTTAGCAATTTGGCTTTGATGGGTTAAAGAGCTTGACTGGAACCACAGGTGTGGCAGGGCTGAGCTTGAACTCAGAACTGCTGATTCCAACTTCAGGGTTATTGGCTAGGGTGAGACCTAGTTTATATTTCCAACCTGGGAAACTATGTTTTGTAAAGCCCTAGTACACTATGCTATGAAAGTCACTTTACAATGTATTAATGTGTTTTTAAATACTATTTACAGATTCAAATCATTTTTCTACTCCCTAGAAGTTAAATAATAAAAGTTGAAAAGCCTGCAAGGACTCCAACATATTTATTGATTACAACTTACTTTGGATATACACTATTCTCTAGTAATCTAATCAATAGCAAGTGATTAAAATAACCGATTAAATGATAAACATGTTGGAGTTTTCGATCTTTTTATTGACTGGCCTAGATTTTGTGTACAGCCTGGTCATAGTGTTAGAATCATTAAAATGCTCACAAAAATTCTATTGAAGAACGTGTTCAATGAAAGATTCATGTTCCCCAAAAGGCAACTAAAGAATGTTAAAAAGCAGGTTGAGCAAATGTTTCAGAGCATGAATTTGCAGTCAGGGAGACCTGGTGTGAGTCTTCCTTAAGCCCTGCCATTTACTAGCTGTAAGGAGGTCTTAGGGAAGTTTCTTAACCTTTCTGAACCTCAGAGCTCTCTTCCATAGAGTCCAGTAAACAATTTCATCTATCTGGATTCTTTACTGTTTGGTTTAAGTCAGTCAACTGAAGTAAAGAGATTACAGAATGAGCTACCATATCATATGATTTCAGAAAATGAACAATAACTTTTACGATGGTTATTATTTATTTCACGTCTCTAAGTTCCCTCTTCAATTACTTTGACCATAAAAAATGGTTAAAGAAACTTACTTGCTCATTCCATCTGTATCAGAGTATCAGAGTTCATTAGCAAAGGAAGAGAAAGCATTTCTTACTCTGATTTAAAGAACTGGAGTACTCAATAAACACCAGGCACTGTGTTGGATACCTTCTGTGTCCCCTTGACCTGCCTTCTCCAGCCAGTGCTGGGCAACTCACTTTCTTTTGGAGAGCACAGGCCTTCTCGATGGCTCAGGGAGCTGAGGGATTTGTCTGGTAATCTCATTGGCACTGAGGTGTGTGCCAGCCTAGAACTGTGAGAGTTAACATCCCATGGGAGCTTGCTCAGTGAAAGACTGAAGCTGGCAGGCACATGTTCCCTTTGCTAGCCCCCAGGTAGACATTCTAGTTGTATTTGACACAGTTCTTTGGCTGGTGTTTATAGGATTAAAGCTCAGAAGCCCATAGCAGTGATCAGTTCAACAACACTTCCTTTCCTTCATCTTTCTTTCAATCTTTCCAATTCTGTTACCACCTCCCCAAAATAAACCACCTATACATAAGTGCTTATCTCCAGCTGTTTTTGGAAAACTAAGAATGATATAATCTTTGGCTTTAAGTGAAATAAATGTAATTTTGCACAGTTACATTTCCTTACAATTATATGGAGTTTTTTTATATTGTTCAAAGATTGTTGAAATTGATCTTAAAAGTAATTCACACTACTCCAACTCCATTGAATTCATCTAAAGGTCATTCCTTTAATGACCTTAAGTGAGATATTTTAACCCAAAAGTTGACAAACATTTTCCTTAAAGGGATAGACAGTAAATATCCTAGGCTTTTCAGGCCAGCTGATCTGTGGCATCAACCCAATTCGACATTTGTAGCATGAAAGCAGTAGAAAGTAACAACATAAATAAATAGGATGGGGGTGGTTGTGTCTCATTAAGTCTTCATGTATAAAAAATATATGGCTGGTTCAGGATTGCAGTATAGATACATTATATAATCCAAGCTGTCTTCAGGGAAATTTATTAAAAAGTTATGAATTATTTTTTCCTACCCTGAAGATGTTTTTCTCAAAATATTTAGAATAACCAAGTGTGTCTCTAAGTACCCTTTCTCCACTTCCCACATGGATGAGATATGCAACTCTAGGAAGGGCCTGAGGTGAATGTCTGAGGAATCACAAGTTAATAGCAGCATTCACCGTGAACCCAGCATGATCCGGGCTTACACTAAGAGGTGTCCTTGTCCTAGCTCATTCATTTCCAAGGGGAACTGCAGGTAGGGGGACTAGGCAACTTCCCACATCTTCACCACAAACAAATGGTGCAAATTATGTTTGAACCCAAGTCCATCTCCGAAGTATGTGTTCTTAGGACCACATGATGGACTGAAGTATATCTGCAAAGCCAACAAGATTCTTTTCCAGAACAGCAAATTATATTTCAATATATGGAGGCTAAACCAAGAAAGGAAAAAAATAGTGTGATTGTCTTAAGGAAATTATGCCTACCATTCTGTCAAAATATTTCACACAGTTTTGGAATAAATGACCACTTTTACAACTTTAAAAGTGTCTAAAATGCGTCGGTGCTGTCACATTGAACATGGTCCTAATTATGTCATAGTAATTTTTAAAATTAGATTTTCATAGTTAGTTCATTGGGATTAGTCCAAGAATGAAGCAGAGCATTAAATTTAAATAATTTATATCCATACTGAACATGCATTTACAGAGGTTGACAATTGTCATGGAGACGGTAGCTAATTAGAAGGGAAACACATTAAAAAAATAAAAACAAGCCAGAATTCTACTCTATAACTTAAATATTCAGCTTCAGATACAAGTTGTAATTTATAAATTCCTTAGAATGGTATAAAATAAAATTTTAGATAAACAAGAAGCTATTTTTAACACTGTAAATGGCAGTATATTTCCAGCAGCGTCTGACTAAAAGAACAGTAGTAAAAAAGAGGAAGGACTTGAAATCTAAGGTGACAAGCCATTATTATTTTTTAGCTTTGTGTTTTAAAGTGACAAATAATACTTACATATATTTAAGGAATACAATGTAATGTTTTGATGCATGTATACACATAATGATCAAATCAGGCTAATTAGCATATCTATCACTCAAAGTTTTTCATTTCTTTATAATGAGTACATTTCAGATCTCTATTAGCTATTTAACAAAATATAATACAATATTATCAGCTATAGTCAACAAGTTGTGCAGCAGAACTCTAGAATTCATTTCTATCTTTGCAGCAACTTTGTACTCATGGGCCAATGTCTCCCTCCCACGTAACTATTGGTCATCTAATAGATAGTGCCTTTGGTCCATGCTGAATTGATGCAGCACCAGAGCAAGGGGGTGCCCAACTGGAATGGGAGCCCATGATTAATTCTAGATGAACCCTGAGTACAGTTGTGGGACATAATAGCCTGAAGGTAAATAAAGAAAGCACAGTGCTCCTATAACATATAGACTTTGATCTTTGGAGGGGAAGAAAGAATGAACTAACAGGCAAATGGTATTTGATGTTAGATTTGATCTGAGAGTCCAAACAAACTCTAGATCTCAGAATAACAGCAAAATTAGTGAGCTGCAGGATTCAGACATTTAATCAAGACAGAGGAAATGGGGTAAAATATTCCCTTCAAAAATTTGCATGTATAGAGGAATAAAACCAAGAAGAGCTAAATCAGTTTGAAGAAACAGACACTTTTAATGTGAAACAGAAGTTTTTGACACTGTTCTTTACTCCTAGAAGTTATCCAAGAAACAATTCTTATCATTCCTAGACTGTATTTTAAAGCCTTGGTTCTGTATTAAGGTCTCTAAACCCAATATAAATGTGATTTTCAGTCACTTATTTAAAAAATGGAAATCTTTAATGTGTTGCTCTTCTCTTTTGCAAAACATTATAATTTTTCTTTAGTACACATATCCTCTTTGGTAGACATAATGAGTGGCCTTGCTGGGCTCATCCACCATGCTTTGATTTCAAGAGTGTCCTGGGTTAGTTTAAGCCAATCAAGAATGTTACCTCCCTGGACATGAAGGTTGTTTCAGGGATGGCTGTACCATAGCCAACTAAATGTTAACAGAAGCTATCTGGCTTCTTGAGAAAATGAGTCTCCTCTCTTTATCATGGGAGTAACTAGAAGAGATTCTTTCCGTCTCGTTGATGTGATGTGAAGATGTGGAGGCTATAGCCATGAGGGCTACTATACTGCCAAGAAAAGACACCTGGGACTTGGTGGGTTTGAACCACCCAGAGCCAGAACATACTCTGCACTTTTTAGTTTTGTGACTTAATAAACTTTCTTTGTTGTGTAAGTTTTCTTGGCTTGCCTTCCTTCCTTCCTTCCTTTCCTTCCTCTTTCTTTCTTTCCTTTTCTTTCTTTCTTTCTCTTTCTTTTTCTTTCTTTCCTTCCTTCTTTCTTTCTCTTTCTTTCTCTCTGTCTTTCTCCTTCCTTCCTTCCTTCTGTATTTTTTTCTCCTCTCCTCTGTTCTCACTTTCTCTCTTTTTATTTTCTCTCTTTCTTGATTTCCAGAGTCTTTGCAGAATCAAAGTACATTGTCCCAGGTTCTGGGAACCAAGACAAATACAACTATGCTATGGCTTTAGGATGCTGCCTTTGTCATGGAAACATGATCACCGAGCATTAAATTGTTGAAGATCTGGGTAATTTTAGGTGAAAGACTACAGCACTAGAAGAAAATGGCTGGGTTAGATTCTTGGAAAAGAAAATTGTAAGAGTAAAGAAAAGGAAGAAACATGTGGCCAGGGTGGGATTAGGGTATGGAAATAGATAACTGAAGTGTGTAGTACCCCCATGTATAGGGTAAACAATGAACCCCAAATTATCTGAAAATCTCCAGAGCTTGATCTCAATTCGAATCAGCCCAGTTTCTATGAAAAAACACTTAGGTATCCTGAAGACTTG